CATAGGCTTTCATACCGGTTTTTTGGATAAATTTGTATTGCCTTTTAATTATTTTAGATGCTTTGTTGCCTCGCTGATGTTATTTTTAAATAAATTCCACATCACCTCCAACCAGGCAAATCCAGGTAACAGAATGGGAAAGAGCAAAGATGTAACATTCTCCTTTAACAAATGTCTTGAAGGTTGTCCTCTAACCAGAGCATACCTCGGTGTAATTCATACATTTGCTTCTTTTCAGAGAACTAATTAACAAACTAGAGAAAAATTAGGTTCCATTTTTCTGTTCCATATGCAACTGGAAATGGAAAACACCATTGTTCCTGGCAATTCTCCTTCTACACTATAAACTCAAATGCACTTATTCCGGCTACATTTCTTCCCTAAAACACTCAAATTACAACAACTACCTCTCTACCATATTATGCTAAATATGAACTGTTTGGGGCAGTTGCAACAACAGCAATATTTTGCATGGCTAGCTTAGAAACAATAAGTGAAGCAAGCATAAAATAATAGAACAAGCAAGTGTCACAAATTTAGAACTGGAGATGAGCAGAATGTGAAACTTGATTTAGCATTTTTTTTCTGTTTGATTGGGGCTTTAAAAATTATTTAATTATTATTGTTTTAATATTTTTATATTCATTATATATTCTGCATAATTATTATGTTTATTATTAATTATTATTATTTAATTGCTTCATAGTATTCCCCCAAGGAAAAAAAAAGTTTTCTCACACACTGACTCCCCATAAAACACGCTGCCGGGATGCCATGGTGATGCCATCTATAAGGAATATTATTCCCTAATCCTTCATCTCCACTAACTAACCCAGTCACCACGTTCACCATGACCACGTAGATATCTAGGACAAGTATGCAGTCCATGCCTTGTCTGTAAATCACCTCTCTTTGAGCCAGGAAAGCCTGGGACCTTCTTCACATCAACAAGGGTGGACATCAGTGTTATGGGGGTAACCATCGTCATTGTGGCCAGTGCTGAGTACTTATTTTATTAACTAACAACGATAACAACATAAATACTTCTATCACACGCATCTCACACATTTCTAGGGCCCTGTGGCTGTGGAAGTGCTCACCCTCCACAGCTCCAGACTGACATCTGCATCCTGCGGGAAGCTGTGGCCAGCATGCAGAGGCAGACTGCAGACCTTCAGCCTTCTTAACATCTCCCACACCCAGAGTAATTCCGGCTCCCCAAACCCTTCAGTGGAGATCAGATGAGCACAAAGTGATTTATCAACCAGAGGTATCTAATTGTCGCTGCCTACTCAGTCTCTACTCAGGGACTCACCCAACAAGCATTAGTTGTTCAACAGTTACAATACCCTGCCACTCACCAACAGCCTCTGACTCACTCCCTATATGGACCACCACCACCAGAACCTTGCTCCAGCACCCTGGTGACTTATTCATCAATTTAGAGCTGGTTTTTTGTTGGGTTTTTTTGGATGGGGGTTGTCATAATTGCTCAGCTGTGGCTGAGGCTGCTGCTGGAGCCCCAGCGGTTGCTGAGCTGGCTGCAGAAGCTGCGCTGGAAAAACAAGCCCTCATTGTCCACCAAAGCTTAGGGCTGACCAAGGCTGTCAAAGAGGAGCTGGGTAGGGCTGACCTGCCCCAGGGCCAATCTGTCAGACCTGGGTGTCATTCTGGAGAGACCCCGACAACATGCCACTGGGAACGTACCCACGTGCTTGCAGGAGCCCGGTTACATTTCACTCCACCTCTCTTGTTCACCCTCCCTTGCAGAAGAGGAGCTTGTGGAGGTAGGTCTCATAACCCGTGGAGAAGCCAGAAGCAGACATATTTCTACAGCTAAAAGCAGTACAGGACGCTTTATCCTACATATCTTAACTGTGAGGGTGGTGAGACACTGTAACAGGTTGCCCAGGGAAGCTGTGGATGTCCCATCGCTGGGGGTGTTCAAGGCCAGGTTGGATGGGGCTTTGAGCAACCTGGTCTGGTGGGAGGTGTCCCTGTCCATGGCAGAGGGGGTGGAACTAGGTGATCTTCAAGGTCCGTTCCAACCTAAACCATTCTATGATTCTATGCACAGGCCAAAAGGGACAAAGCAATATTTTAAAAAGGTCCACTCATTCATCACCAAATGAGGAAAGAAAATAATACTTTATATTGTTTTGGCAAAATATTCTAAATATGATTGGGCAACAATTAGTTCTTATGGGATGGAGAAGAAAAGCAAGATGCAGAGGGAAATGCACAACCTGCGGAAAACATTAACCTTTAAATACCATAAAATAATAGTTAAACAGTGGAATTCAGAACAGAAGAATCTTTGTTAATTGGGATAACAATAGAGTAAAATTTAAAAATAAAAATTCCTATTGCATTTTTATGAAATAGACCCTAGAGGCTTCTGTGATTTTGGTTTTGGAATTGTGGGAGTTGTTATTGGTTAGAATCCTCTGCCACTCCGCTTTATTCTGCAAAAACCAGCTTACTCAACCACTTTAAGAATGCTGCAGTAACAGCATTAAAAACAGTGAGAAGAGAGACCGCACGAGGCTTTGCTGGGGCGTTATGCAGCTGGCACAATCAAATCCATAACGCGGTGCCAATATCAGCAAAACATGGGCAAAATTGAATGATGCTTCCCAAACAAATCAAACGCCTAGATTTAGTCCGAGTCCTTGGCACAGCATTCACAGGAGGCTGGTTGGGTTTTAACAGTAGCAAAAATGAACAGCCTTTTCCACAAGGTACAGGAAACCGCCTCACTCAAAAGCACATTGTTATTCCTGTGGGGTGAGGTGAAGGCTGTAGCTGAGACTGAAGGATGCTTACAGGACAATTCATCTAACGTCAAGGGCTTCCCACACTAAGCCCACCAAACCGTAGAAAATTCAGAGGTTCTATGAAGAGAGGTTCTCTTTCACCATCCTCTGCCAAAACAATCTCATCTTGCCCTGCCCTGCCGGTGCTCTCAAGACGTAGAAAGCAGCAGGGTTGTGGGGAAATGATTCAGCTGCACAGCAGGCAGAGGGCAGCTGCGACGCATTGAGACAACACACAGAACTTGGGGTTTTTTTTTCTGTTGAGGAAAGGAAATTTTCAGGGCACACAAAAATATTTAATATTCACAAAGTTAAAATTTGAATTCTGTTCAGTGTTTGTATATTCAAGGAACAAATTCTCTTTCCAGCGAATCTGTAAGAGTATCCCTCTCCTCCTCACGCCTTCTTTTCCTATCAGCAATAGGAGTAAATCCATACATTATACGCTCTACTATTCCATGATTAGTTTCTATGGAACATGTGGCCTCAAGTTAGGCCAGGGTAGGTTCTCCAAATTTCTCCTTCAGCAGTTTCAGCCCCTAGCCTTTATCCTTTTTGTACCTACAAACACTTTTATTTGAATCACAGAGTTGCAGAATCATATTGATTGGAAAAAAGCCTCCAGAGGTCATCTGCTCCAAGCAGAACCAACTGCTAAGTTAGACCAGGTTGCGCAGGGCCTCGTCCAGGTGAGTCTTGAAAACCTCCAAAGATGGAGATTCTGCCACCTGTCTGGTTAACCGATCCCAGTGCTTCCCCTGTGAGTCTGTCTACATTCAGACAGAACACTAGCTTGCTCTACAGGGGAATCCTATCTGGTTTGTTTTAATTTGATTTTAGGACTGTGGTGGTTTTTTTTTCCCCTCTAAGCTAGCATTACAAGAATTAAAGCAACGATGATCTAAAGCATTAGGACACTCACTCTGTAAAGTTTACAGATACAAAAACCCAAATGGAAAGGACAATCTACTTTTTTTTATACGAATTTTTAAGAAAATTTGCAGAACCAGAGTTTGGAATGAAAAATAAATACAAAAATAAGACTTCCTGGAAGCACCAGTTTTTAAGTGTGCTACTCCACCAAGTCTGACACACAAGCTGGTGTCAGCACTCGGAGCCAGAATACTCCAGTATCCAGAGCAGTATCTACTGGCCTCTTGTCCCACAAGTGCTCTACCTCAACTACCATTTAATGGTTTCCCCTGCCTGCTGCCAACATTTTTGCTCTCAAGCTCCGCTGCCCACCACATTATATGTACCTCAAAAATACTCTTACCTTCTTCGCTGGTGTCCTGTATGCACTCCACTCACAAGCCTTGCTTCAACAGCTTACGGGGACCCAGCAATCCAGGCACAGCAGAACTCTAACACAGCCTCCTTTCCCTTTATCACCATTTTCTGTCAAGTTAGTGCAGTTACATTGCAAAAGGAAAACTGCATTAGCAGTGGAGAAAATACAAGGAAAAGCAAGTGTGAAGACCAGAGCAGGGCAGGATAACATCAGGCAGCAATCACATTAATTTAGACAGCCAGTTAAAAAGTCTTAAATGACTCAAGCAAAGGAACACCTAGTTTTCGGGTTTTTTTTCCTTTTGTTATGCCAAAGCTTGGTCAGACATAATGTTGCTTGGCATTATGAATGGGCTTTGCTTCAGCAGACAGTTCAGACACTATTTCTGGTGTGGAACCTACGGCACCAACAACTTGAACATACCCAAATCCTCATTAAGGTCTTTAATGGACTAGGTAGGTCTGCTATAAAGTACATGTGTACACAGCTATTTTGGAGCTCCTGCCCAAAGCCACTAAGTTTAGCAACTAAAAGAAAATTAACAAAATTCTTCTGCCGGTGCAAAAAAAAAGTCAAGTTACATCAGGAAGGACAAATGTAACCACACGTGGTTCAAGTTTCACACATCCCCAAGATTAAAAGAGGTCCTCTTACTCCCACTGTAAGACTAGTCTGCTGCACACACACTATGGCCCTGGGCAGCGAACCCAACACACTGCTTGATGTTGGGACCACCTTACCTATGAGCAGCTACAAATTTCACAGGTGAGTTCCCAGCTGACCAGCAATGCTTCAGGTGACAACCTCTGATCCCCAAAACCTCCTGCTTCAGGTACTAAAAGGGAAGTTTCCTTCACAAAACCAAAATACAAAGTTGACACTATCTTCAGATATAAACTTTGAACAGTGAGGTTTTGATACACATTTTATTTCTATCACTATGAGCCTAAGGAATATGCTATTTTTCACAGCTTTCAGTTCATTCTCCAAAGAGTAGCACACAACAGAAAAATAATTAGAATTTATATTTTTTCAAATTTTTATTCAACAACCTGCTTACAGAAAATGGATAGAATTAAACAAAAGCTTACATTAAATACTATACAAAAATATTAACATTGCTGAGGAGCTATTCCCCAAATATGTTCAATTTCTATATCCTCAGCCATCTGCATTGCAGCTCACAGAACAAAACAAGAACATCTGAAGGTTTTCTTGGCTGCAATTCATTATGACACATGAAAACTGCAGCCCTTGACAGGCTCCTGTTCAGTAGAATTTGGCAGTCAACTGTTTGTACTGTAATTAAAAAAAAAAAAGCAGTTTACAAATGAAAAATAATCAAGTATAATAAATACATTTTTCTTAAAAACAGATGAGCCCACAATCCTGGAGCACGCTGTTCAGAAGAGAAAAAACATGATTTTCTGCTCTGGAAATGCACTTTGTGGGAAATGCTATGTATTGATGACCTGTAGGCAATTTTATCTCCAAAACCTTCCAGGAAAGAAGAACAGATTACCATAGGAAGTTTCAATTGCAATCTTTGAGTAAAAGTCCTCAGAAAGATTCAGTAGCTTCTGACCAGAACCTTCAGCAGTCATCAAGCTCCTTTACAGTCCATCACTGCCATTTTTAGTACAGTTGTTATGAAGGCTTGGATTCCCCCGCTCTCCAGTCAATGTTTTTAAAGAGTGGTGTCAGCTTATGGAATTGACGTTTTTAGAGCTTTTGAAGGCCAACTTAAGGAGGAGGATCTTCTCCTCTAATAGCTTTGTATTTTGCCATGTCTTCTGGGAACACCTTTGTCAGTTCTTGAATTAACAAACTTTTAAATTTCTGGAAAGAGAAAAAAAATGTGTATGCGTCATCTGCACCATTTATTTAGATGACATCAATCTTATCTGATGAACAGAAATGTTTGTATACACCACAGTTCTACATTTCAGTGACCTACTAGAATAGTGCCCAAAAAAACCCTCCAAAAGCACACACAAAACCCACAGAAAGTTATAATACATAGAATATGCTTAAGTGAAATCTGCTAGGAAAGCACCAGGCTAACTAAAATGCTTTTAATTTCCCTTAAATTAACTGGCATTTTCACCTAAGAAATACAAAGTAGTTTGACTTATCTGGTAAACTCTGGTGCATCGATAACTGTCTAACGTTCTTAAGCAAAGCTGATAAAGGACATGTCCTCTTGACTTGATATGGAATCCCCTCCATTTCCAAAAAGCAACTCACACCTGGCTTAGAAATACATACTTCCTACAACTTTTAGAAGCACAGATCATATCTAAAGAAAGAGAAGCTTAGAATGTATGGAGATATGGCTACATTTTGCAGCACAAATTGCCATGCTCCACATTAAGATCAGACAAAGAATCTTCTGAAACAAAGAGCCCTTTCTCGAATCTTGCTAAACTTCCTTTTCTGATTTTATTTTTCAGCAGTAATTCCAGCAGTTAAACAGCCCAGCAGAATGCTTAGGTTCATACTACATGAAAGTACAAGTTCAGAAAACCCTGAACACTGGCATACATTTTAAGTCCCTTTATAAAGATTAATTCATGCTAATACAGCACATTTGACATTTTAATACTCTAAGATCCACCCAAGAGTGGAAAAAATACCTCTTTTGTTTTACTTATTTCTAAACTTACACACATCACAGTTACAGATCTAAAGCAGTGAGGTACTTATTAATACTCAAAATTAAAACAAACGTAACACTACGTACACCTTTAGCCAAAATAAAATCACAGCAACATCTGCATCTCCAGTTGTGGGGTGAATTACCAGTTTCCTTTCCAGAACAGGATGTGTGAGCACCAGTTAAGATACAGGGATGCAGAGCAATCCCTAATGCAAATCAGGGATTTTAATAACTGCACAAGTGAAAAAACCCCACATAGTTACAGAAAAGTAAAAATTTATCAAATACATTATTACATCAGTACTTTCATTATTTGTGGTTTACCTTCATTGTGTCAATTTTTCCTTTTACTTGCTCATTTTTAGCCAAAGCTCGCTCCAGACACTCTTTAGTGTAAAGCTGAGGATTGCGGCCTTGATCTATGTATCTGAAAATAGAAAAGATGCTACCTACATGATCATATTCCAACTAGAATGTTCTCCAAGGTACAGAATTATTCACTCTGCTGTCTTATTGTTACTACTATTATCTGAGACGCATTTTAAAAAACACAATTCAACTCAGCCGTTTTCAAAAGACAGCTCAAGGAGGACTAGACCACGGCCGGCAAACAGCTGTTTTGGTATGCTGTTTTAAACCTTTGTTTTCAGAAAGCCTGGAGCTTTGAAAGAGGTATTAAAATCAAACAAAAATACAACTATCCAGCTCCTCACAGGCAATAAGTACACATGAATGAAGAACGATAGTCCTTTTCCAAGCAACTGGAAGGGCACTAACCATAAAGTAGCTTAGTTTGTACACAGTGAGCCATAAGCACATAGGATTAAGGCACCCAGCAATTCAAGGATGAGGAGAAAGTGTACGTACTGTAGTCAAGAGTGAAAATTAACTCACCTGTATTGGCAAACATATAAGTGCATTTTTGCTTTACAATGTAAGTGTCTGACAAAGGAAAATGCCATCATTGAACAATGAAAACAGAACATTTAAGACTGTTGTCATAGATTTACAGACAGAGTGGAAGCCCAACTGAAAAAAAGTCCTGTACAGCCAGTAATATACTAGAATATAGCAAACCAGTGACATCTGGACTGACAAGAAACACTAGTAAATTAATTTGTCAGCTATATTGTAAAAACTGTCTTGTATAACTCTCCCTCTACATTCATGATTTTGCTTTTAATGTTCTAATTCTCTGCCAACAAGAAGATTGCCACTACTGAAACTAAACACCCAAGTACTGGCCTAATTTAGTTTTACCTGCAGCTTTACATCCTGATTCCAACCTAGTGTAAAAGTGTATTTCTAAAATGAACGCTTACTTACCAAATCACCAGATTCAGCAGAATCTGTAGTATTGCCTACATATGTGAAGTCAGTATCAATTAAAAATACTTTAAAAAAAAGAGATCTAAAAGCAGCTGTAGAATTTATCACATTTCTCACCCTTCCACGTTCTCACAGGCTAAAGGTACTTCTTGCCTTCTTCTGCCTGAAGCATTCAGAGGATGTTGTTTAAAAAACAAAGCAGTCCTCCGTGGAAATATCCACGCTGCAAAGACACGCTACATCAAATCACACCGACTACAGCACCTTCCCCCCCATCTACAAAGTCACTCACTCAAAAACTTCCAAGGGCACGCTGATATCGTGAAGCTGCTGCCGGCACTTGTCGATATCCTGCAAGCCCGTCACCATGAAATTCCTGCAAGAAGAAAACGGGTCGTTTTTAGCCAAAACGGGGCGTTCTACGCTAACCCTAACCGTGGTTGCCAGGCCGGCGACGCGAAACCCAGCGAGGGAAACTTCTTATCTCCCCACCACTCCTTCTACGTGTAAGGGCGACAGATCGGCCGGCCGGGGCCTCCGCTACCCTGAGGCACCAGGCTCGGGAAGAGGGGCGGCGGCAAAAGGCCCCCGCGGCCTGGCCCGGCAAGCAAGCGGGGTGAAGGAGCGGCGAAACCCCTCACAATTTCTGGTTGAGACCAGCCTGGCTGCTGGGCTGGAAGTCGCTGACGATAATGCCGAGCTGCCGGATGTTCTCCACGAACTTCTCCAGGTGCTCCTCCAGAGAGTCGAACTTCTCCGCCATCGCCATAGCTGCCGCCTCCGCCGCCGCCTTCCCCTTCACCCCCCCACTTCCGGCGAGATGCGCATGCGGGGAAGGAGGGAGGCGGAGCTGATGGACTGGTCACGCCTCAAGCCACGCCCCCTTCGTATCAAGCCACGCCCCCTCGCCAAGCCACGCCCCCCGCATCCCTCCCCTCCCGCGCCGCACCGATCCCGCTCCCGTCGCGGCGGGACAAACCGGGCATCTGGGAAAATCACGGGGTCATACGAGAACTCCGGCCGGCCCTCCCGGAGCTCCAGCCCACGATTTGTCGTTTCTGCCGGCTGGTTTGAGTTCGGCGCCTTTGCTTTATGGGAGGGATGCTCGGCCACGCGGCAAGAGGGACAATGAATTCCGGGCAAAAATAAGACTTATAAACCCTAGGTTGTGCAAGCCTGTATTTGTTTTGGGCATGCAATGGAAAATAATGAGAAGTCTTTCTTGCCCTGAAGGTAATCAATACTAAATTATAATTAGCGTCTTTTATACATGCCAGATAATTGGAGTTTGACAATACGGATCATTCAGTAGCCTTCAGCACTGCTTTCCTATCTTTTGTTACCATACAACATCTCTAGGAGTTTTTCACTAGATCCCAGTGGAGCAGGAAGCACACAGTGTGACTAATAAAATCTTTGAAAAAATTGCCGGCACCACTTTTGGAATGGTGACATTTGAAAACTCACTACTAATTGCTGTGGCCTGCCAGACATGGACTGCTGCACCTAGATCGTGAAGTGTCCCTCTGCTTGACTTCTTAAAGACATAGTCTTTCCTGTCAGTCCACTCCTATAAAACCTCTATAATTGACCCTCATTGGTTTTTTGTCACTTATCCTTTTGCCTGTCCTTGACAAATATTACCACGTTGCTTATATTTTTAGACCATCATTTGGAATCTCACTGCTTTTGAGCAGTTCCCCTTCCTATGTTGCATAGAAATCAAATCGTTCCTCATTTTCAGACCCATTCAAAACTTGTGTGTGGCTCCAATTTGCTCACCACCTCCACCCTGTACCAGAGGTTGAACTCTAGTCCTGATCCATTTGTAGTGCAGAGCCCACTCCCTTCTTGAAAGCTTTTCAAAAAGGTGGCTTCATACTTTTTCCCCGTGCTGCCCTTTACTGTTAGGTGGGGCTGGTGGTGACTATCTTATCACTTCACCACATCTGGTCAAATTCCTCATTTAATTACTTGCCTCGCTATCCACTGCTGCAAGCTGCTGCCTGTCTTGTACAGGCTCTGGGTTAGGGATCATCTCTGAGAAGTCCTTAACACAAAAGGACCTAACTCGTGGGTAAAGGTCACACATGCAACTGGGAAAGGAGCAACTGCATAGATCTAAAGAGCAGACATTTTTCTGCCTGTCTCACTCCCCATGTCTGATCAGCAGACTGATCGTAGACTCATAGAATCGTTTAGGTTGGAAGGGACCTTCAAGATCATATAGTTCCAACCCCCTTGCCATAGGCAGGGACAAGTTCTGCTAGACCAGGTTGAGCAAAGCCCCATCCAGCCTGGCCTTGAACACCTCCAGGGATGGGGCATCCACAACTTCTCTGGGCAACCTGTTCCAGTGCCTCACCACCCTCAGAGTGAAAAATTTCTTCCTGATATCTAATCTAAATCTACTGTCTTCCAGTTTGAAGCCATTTCTCCTCATCCTATCACTACATGCCCTTGTAAAAAGTCCTTCCCCAGCTACCCTGTAGGCCCTCTTACGGTACTGGAAGGCTGCTATAAGGTTTCCCAGAGCCTTCTCTTCTCCAGGCTGAACAACCCCAACTGTCCCAGCCTGATATGCTCAGCTCATGCCTGACCCCACTCACAAAGGGAGCACTCACAAAGGGAGCCCTCAGACTTCCCTTTTATCTGGTAACAACAATGCACATCTGGAGTTCAGGTTATCTGGATTTCAATCTCTCCTTTTTATCCACAAGGATCAGAGCCTACAAAAAGACCTCAGAGGCTAGGATATATTTGGCAGTGGGGTCTGTTCAGTCCCAGTGGCTATTCTACTTTGTGTGAAAATTAAGTATTGCTTGAGCAATAGGAAGACAGGGTTTGGCATACCACACAGAAAGAAGTGGAAGAACCAGTGCCTGATTACCTGATAAAGGCTCATTGTCTTCCCCACCTGTCTTATATCTGCTAATTATGAGTGGTTTTCTAAACTGTGTAAGAAATAGACACTGTAACAGACAGAGGTTCACTTGATAATAGAAACCACAATGAATTATCTGGGGAATGACAAAATATCAGTCTAAATTAAATAATCCAGCTATCATTTTCCCTGTGGGAAGATTATCTGGCATGCTTAAATTCCCATGGCACATCACAATAACTGTATGTTTTATAAATAGCTTATTTCCAGTATGTCTGTTTTCAGCTGAATCTGAGAAGATCAGTCCAGTAATATCAGCAGATAAGAATCTGATGCTTTGATTCACAATGAAGGATTTGAATGAATGCTTGAAATAAGAACAAACTAAAATAGATATGATATTCAATCAACAGATTTAATGTATTTTATGCATTTTTAGCTATAACTTGTGACCATTTCTGTTCCACAATGAGAACCATCAAAATCAGCAGTTGTTAATTTCTTGGATGTATCTTTTTATTAGTTATACTTTTTCCATTTATGATATCAATGACAACAATAAAAATGTAAAAACCCCTCTAATGGTCAGTTTCTGTTCTGGGTTACCATTCTAGTTCAGTAGCAGAAAGTTGTGTCTTTGCTAAATACAAAGGGCTATTCAGGAGTTCATAAGATGAAGTAAGCTAATCCAAAATTACATAGCAAGTTACTGTAAAGAGCACTAAATATTAAGGAAAATACAATACTGTGCAAATGTGAAAATTTAAAAACAATCCTAGGCTGCAAAAAGCAATTAATCAGTTCTAGGTCTTGACAAGTATTGTCATGCCATGATAAAAAAAATCCATTGTCTATTGATTTGCAGTTGCTGACCATCCCGTTTCCACAGTTGGCAGAATGTTCTCTGGAGACCAGAAGTCCCTGGATGTCGAGATTTTTCATACAAGTACTTTGCACTGATCACATGAGAGATCTTGGTCTGAGGAACAGAAGAGCTTTTTCTAATATTTGGGAAGGAAGAATGTAGAGTATGGTGTACTTACCAGATTAGATCTGAACCTGAGGAACAGGGGGGCCGAATTTTGAAAGAAACAGTCTAAATACATGCGATTGCGTCAGACGTGGCTCTGCAGGCTCAAGAGTTTTGGTTTTAAATAAAAGAGTTGCTGTATATCCATCTTGGCTTATGGGCAAACACACTCAGCAGAAGTACGGAGCAGAATAACTTGCTTTAAATTCAGTAACAAAAATGGGGTTTGAGGTACTGTTAAAACTTCCACTCCTTCCTCTTTGTGGGAAAGCCTTTGGTTATCAGAACCAAGCAAACATGACTTCTAGCTTGCTTGCAATGACTGAAATCTGATAGATGTCCATTGCCACATCTATCTCGGGTAAAGTATCTGGCAGAAAAAAAATAAAAATTGGAAGTTGAACATCAAATGTGGAGATATCCAGCTCATCTTAAATCTATATTTACTAAGCTGGTTAGGTTAGATTAATGAATTTTGTTAGATAAATGTGTACAGTGCTTTTAAGATTAAAAATTGCTAGAAATATATTACCAGTTAAATTTTTCTCATAATCACCAACTTGGTCAGTGTTTTCCTGTTCAGGTAAAAAAAAAAAAGTAAACCAAAGAAAATTGTGTTCCAATGAAAGAGGAAGGGAGGAAGGGAGGAAAGAAGGGAGGAAGGGAGGAAGGAAGGGAGGAAAGAAGGGAGGAAGGAAGGGAGGAAAGAAGGGAGGAAGGAAGGAAAGAGGAAGGAGAAAGAAAGTCTGACAAATAACTCAATCAATCAATAGGTACATAGAGACAGAAAGACTTAGAAAGAAAATTTCGTGGTTCATGATGTAAGTAACCATATTGCATTCCTACCCTTATTTCCATGCAGAGAGCAGGCAACTACTGGCTTGTAAGCTGGACATCTGCACCAGGCAGTTAAGTAGGGTTTGTAATATAGGATAGAATGAGAGGCCGTGTGGATCAATATGACCCATTTTGGAAGAGTAGCACAGATTACGTAAAAGAAAATCCTGTTTTGTAAACCTCTAATGAATTTTTCAAGCGGTCAGCAAGCGTGTAGATAAGAGTGACCTAATTGATACAATCTACTTGAGTTTCCCATCAGCTTTTGCTGAAATCCTCAACCAAAGTCTTTTAAGGAACTAAAGCAATGGAATAATGGGAGAAATCCTAGGCCGAATAAAGAACTGATTGCCAGAGAGAAAATGCAGGATAGGGGCAAATATTTCATTCTTGCAGCAGAGAATCATTCCCAGAGGAGTTCTACAGGGAACTGGGCTGAAAATTGTGCCATTCAATATGTTCATGGATGACCCAGAAAAGAGATCAGATGGTGCAATGAGAAAATTGGCTAATGAGAAAGTTATTTGGCAAAAATGAATACAGGTTGTAGGAAACTGTAGAACGACCTGAAAAGGCCTGGTGGCTGGGCAACAAAGTGTCAGAAAAAATTCAGACAGATAATGTAAAGTAATGGACATAGCAAGGAAAAAAACCCTAGTTTCTCATAAAGATTCATAGCCTTTTGACTGTTACCACATAGAAGCAAGACTTGAGGATCGCAACAGAAAGTTTCATGAAAACATCAGCTCAGTGCTCAGCAGTGGTCAGAAGTCATACAGAGAGTTAGGAATAGTTAGGAAAGGGATTTGAAAACAAAGTAGAAAATGTCATTGTGCTACTGCATAAATCCACACTTCACCCCAACCTTAAATACTGTGTGCAGTTCTGGTTCCCTGGAGACCTGGAAAAGAGTCAGAGAAGGGCTGCCAAGATGACTGTAGATGTGAAATGGCTTCTGTACTTGGAAAACATGAATAGACAGGGGCTCTTCAGCTTGAAAGAGAGCCCACTGATAAGAGCTATGACTGATAACTTGGTG